GTAATGACTTACCAGTAAGCATGAACTGATAAGCGTTGTCAGAGACAGAGAAGATGTGGGGTGGAGCCTCCATACGCTTCTTGCCTCTGTAGGCAGCCACACATTCAGCATCGTACACTGGGAGCCACTTGTAGGGGTTCACAGTGGCACAGAACAACCCAGAGTAGGTCTGAAAGTGATCACAGAGATTCAACAGTTAACTATATGTTTCTGTCAAGTATTTACAACCAAACTATTATGTCATAAGGCACATTGTCTTACGTAGATCATCCATGCTGCATAACGCTCTTTGAGATTATACAGCACAGAGGCTTCATTGAGATGGGTCATCATGGCCATGTCCTCAATCTTGTCATACTTGGGAGGGTTCATTGGAGAGACATCATCTTCTTTGACTGTCCTCTCCTGGAATAGAACATTTATGATTATCAGAATTGGTCATATTGAATTTCCAGATTACTCAGACTTATGATACCAACCTCCTGAGTGTCCAGGACTTTGACAGTGACTTTGCCACCATCTTTCTTGATGATTGTTGCCTTCAGGTACAGCTCCTTGGCATCGGCCACGTAGCAGGCACTCTTGGCATCAAAAGGTTTGCTCTGAGCCTCAATTCTCTCCCTTTCTGGCTTCCGGAGGTAAACGGCAGCCTTGCCATATATGGCCATCTCTGCGTCCGTACTCATGGTGGCGGCTGATGTCTGGTCGATAATTACAAAGGAATTGCCATCATAAACTTATGCTTTTAAATCCATGTGATTAAACAGCACATAAACTTAAAAGTCTGCTGAATAATTAACATATCCAAACTGAAACATGTCTATGTTTCCTTGCAGGTGGTCTTCAACTTCATTCAAAGTCCTTTTCAGACTCAATTAGTGAGAATAAACTAATACTAATATTGTTTTGTTTTGTTAAAAGTCTGCATGAAGAACTGTGGACACTGATTGAAAGAACAATATTTTGCATATTTATCAAATGATTATAAAGACAATTCAAACACTTAAAAGTTGTTCTTACCTGACCCCCTCTCTCTCAAAACTATTCACCAATCCTGTTAAAAAAGTAATCTGGTTAGAACAGGTGTAAAATCAAGATAACAAATGTTAATATAACTTATATCTTAAATAAAGAACATATTGATATGTCTTTTTGCTAAAGAGAAAATCATTTTACCACAAGCAGGAACTCACAGGTCTTCAGCGTTGCACACTGTGTCCTCAGGCAGCCTTTATATTGAATCAGGTTTTAATGACACTGCAAAAGTTAAATATGGTATACTTGCCAAATGTGGTAAGGCATATAGGCGGGCATAAAGACATGTTGTAATCATAGATCATCTGATGTTTCAGGTTTCAGTCATGGCCAAGTTTTTTCTTAATCATGACTTCATTTTACAGAAGTATACTAATTTAAAAAAACATCAGTGTTCTATTTCCCTTTAACTGTTTCTTCAATTTACTTCTTTTTTTAAAACAAATTATTTCTATAGTATAAGTTATATGATAATATTTTACTTATTCTTATTCCAATCATACAGTTTAAACAAAATGATATTAGTATGCCATGGATTGGTGGGGTCAAATCTTTTTTTTTTGTTTTGTTGTTAAATTTTATTATTAAGCATTACTGAGTTTTTCAGTTTTGTTTAAGCATAAGACCATAGTACAAAACAAGCACAACAAGAAACAGTAAAGACTCTTAATGGGGGAAAAAGGGAATACCATTAAAACCAAGAAATATATTTTAAACAGTATCAGGACTCTTAGAAGAACACTGATTTCAGAGCATGAAGGTTGATTATTCTCTCAAAGTTTTTGTTAAAGCTCTCTAAGATTTTTAACACTCTAGATGCATTTTGATCAGGGGTAAGAGTGAGCACTAAGGGGTACACTGTTCTGGGATGCCAGAGTTCATTGAACTCCCTTATTCAAAAGGGCTGGCCTCAAGAGACAGCTTCTTAGCAAGAATTTATCTTGAATTCAGCCACCTGTTCATTCATGCTTCTGGAAATTTTTCATGTTGGGATTACAGTGACAATATTGAAACTTTTCCAGAGGGATCCAAAAGTGCTGTGAGACATTCTTCATAATAAAGTACCTCTGGAATGTCTTGGCTCTCCTCTCAAATGCCTGTGCTTGGGACCTATTAATGCACAGTGGGGGCACATTGACTAGTTTTTCCATACCACAGTCCTCAAGTGTTACAGATGGTTCCAGCAGTTATTAATGTATGATAGAGTAGTACATGATTGGATGACTTGTAAATAACCTATGCCGGTGAGCAGCAACTGGGATTTCAATGTTGAATTCTAGTTCAAAACAGAATGACATTTGGGTCTCTAGTTTCGCAGACCAGTTGAGGTGGAGGCGCAGCGCACCTGCGCTTCGCCAACTGGGTGTGGCCAGGCAGATTTTGCAAGTTTGGCACACCGTGCGCGCTGCCGCAGCTACTCTTCTTTCCCACCTCCTACCCTCCTACATGCGCAAGTCGGAAAGAGGGAGGAGAGAAGACGTGGAGTGGGTTTTACACAGCCGATTCACATCACACCAATCAAATTAGCCTCTCCCCTCGTCCTTTAATGCGCCGCGCGAAGGCTAATGAGAGTTTGCTCAATTCGCCATGGCAGAAGAGAGCAGCAGCGTCAGACGGCCAAACTTCTCCCAAGAGGAAAGTGATGTTTTGGTCCGGGAGGTCCAAGCTCGCACTGTCCGAATATACGGAACTGTGGCTGTTTGTGGTTGGCTGAGAGGGATGTGAACTCATTAGTTTAGAGCTGTGTTAATCAAATCAGGTTGGGTTTCCATTACGCGTGCCAAACATACCAAACGGTGCCAATCCCCTTTGATCTGACATCAGATGTGACGGGACAGTCGATATAGAGATACATTTATATGCTGATTGCAGATAGTTGCATTGAATAGTGTTTTTTTGGGGTATTTATTGCACCATTAATGTGCCTGACATTCTGGAAACCTGCCTGTGAGGTTTTGGTGACGTGTGCGCACTGTCCGCCGGTCAGCCAAACTTCCACTTACACCGGCTGTGCTCCGCCTGCGCTGACAGTAGACCTGGTTTCAGCTGGCATGCTTTTAGTGCACCTTCTGCGAAGCCTTTTGGCAAGAAACTGTCACTGCGCCAAGCTAGATCTGTCGACACCTCCCCCTGCTGCGCCGCCACACCCATCTCAGCGCACCTCGGTCTGCCAAACTACCAAACTGAGCGCGCCTTGGGTTGCGCTGCTCGAAACTAGCTCTGCGCGGGGTTCGCCACTCTGCGCCGTGCCGGGAAACTAGAGGCCAATAAGTCCTATCGTTATTCGTGAATTTCATACTGCAAATACAGAGATTAATATGCTCAATTATGTATATGAAATCCATGATGGACATTCACCCTCCCCTCAGTGAAAATACATTTCCTTATAATACTTGTTTTATTTATAATTTTCCATCATATCATATCAAACTTCTTCCTACAACCAGAGAGACAAACCAGAGGGACCCTACATCAATTATGTATTGTAAAGTGAAGGATGGCCAAGATGGCACCTGGGGACGGGTTTCTTCTGCTCATTTATGTTGTATTGCTGTAGCATTCTCATTGTAGTATTCAACTTAATGTAGCAATTTTATTTTATTTATCATTTATTTATCTATCATTCTATTTTATTTCTATTTTTTTATCGTATTCTATTTGTCTTTTTGTTTAAGTCTTGTGCTGCTGTGATATTTGAATTTCCCCTCTGGTGGATCAATAAAATATATCTTATCTTAATTGTATTAAAAGAGCATTTTTCATTGTTATATTTAAATTGTTGCTTAATAAATACATTTATCGCATGTGTCACACAGTCTTCTTTGTCTTTTAAGTGGAAACTATGGATGTGTTAGTATGATTAAGTATATAACTTATATGCTGCTATTGATGTCATCATAAAGCCAGCACCACTTGTACTGTTTTATATTACAGTGAGCATTTTTAGTTTTAAAAGGTGTATTATTTGGACACTGTAGAGGATGAAAAATCTCTATACTGCCAATCCTCATGAAATAAGTTCGAAATGCAAACGTTCAGTCAACATCTTCAAGTAGTCGGTGAAAAACTTTTCACTTTTGAACCTTTTCTAAATGTCTTTTTACCGGTGACCATAGCAGTTTTTTTTTTCTTTTTCTAAATGTCTTTTCAACATAAAAAGTTTGCTGGGCTAAATGTAAATAAAAAATCTATGCAGCATATTTTTTTTAGTCAGCATCTGCTTACATCTGCTCCCTCTCAGAGGACACATTTAGATCAAAATAACAAAGACAATGCAGTTTAAGATTATTTTAAAAATTATTTTATTATGGAATATTTCACATCACACTAGAAACAGCAAATCAGCTAAAATGCTTTACTCAGCAGCCTCTTTTCCCTGTAGAGAAGGAGAAGAAGAAAAAGGGGAAGAAGAGGAAAATTAATCCACACAGTTCACACACACACACACACACACACACACACTTATTATACTATGATGAGAGTATTGCATGACCTAAATTTAATTTTCATTTAGCTGAAATTTGTATGTATTTACCTTGCCAGAGTCACAACTCTTAGCTCTCAACTTGTTGACCTGGGACTCCGCAATATCAGCACGCTCCTCAGCCTCTTCCAGCTCATGCTGGATTTTCCTGCACTTGGACAGATGGACGTTGGCCTGCTCCTCCTGAAAAGCCATAGAGATTGATATTGTTTTAATGTCCACAAAGACCAAAAGTCTACTTTGTGTAAAATAAACCTGCCACAGTAGCAAGGTTTTGAGTGTTGAAAATGTATATTTTGTCCTTACCGCCTCCTCAGCCTGCCTCTTGTAGGCCTTCACCTTGAGCTGCAACTTATCAACCAGATCCTGCAGCCTGGAGATGTTTTTCTTGTCCTCTTCAGTCTGTTAAAAGTAATTTAAAAGTAAAGTAGAAAATAAATGTACATGTTGACTTGAATTAAGTTGATTTCGATGTTAAATGTCAAAGTGACTGTACCTGATAGGTGAGCTCCTTTACTCTCCTCTCATATTTGCGGACACCCTTAACAGCATCTGCTCCACGTCTCTGCTCAGCCTCCACCTCTGCCTCCAGCTCACGCACCTTCAGAAAACAAGATAATGAGTATCCATCTTCTCTTCAAAACTCATGTTTCAGCTGTGAAAATTGTTATCCTGACTTTCTTACCCTTGACTCAAGTTTCTGGAGCTGCTTCTTTCCACCCTTCATGGCCAGGTTCTCAGCCTCATCCAGGCGGTGCTGCAGGTCCTTAACAGTGACCTCCAGGTTCTTCTTCATCCTCTCCAGGTGAGCACTGGTATCCTGCTCCTTCTTCAGCTCCTCAGCCATCATAGCAGCCTAGAGAATACAGCATAAAACATTAATTAGAAATGTTGTGAAAAAAAATACATTGGCTTATGAACAAATGAAGTTTAAACCTACATCAGTGATGGCCTTCTTGGCCTTCTCCTCTGCATTCCTTGCTTCCTGAACAGTGTCATCCACTTCTCCCTGGACCTGGACCAGGTCAGCCTCAAGCTTCTTCTTGGTGTTCACAAGGCTTGTGTTCTAAAAAACGATTTAGGCACTTGAGTCAACAGGTTAGTATGTATTTTTACATCTTCACTGACCAGTGGATACTAGGTCAAAGAACCCCTAAGGATAATGTTCCGCCAGGACAGCTATCATGGCGTCAGAAATGCTAGATGGACAAGTTAGACTAATTTTAGTTGGCTGAAGGCCAAGTTCAATTTGGCAAAACACCATATAGGTAACAGCACATGTGCTACCATCCTATATAAGCTGTGTCTCTTTCTGTTCATGTATGACACACATAGCTTCTGCATGTGGCCAATGTTGATCCGAGCTTGTAAAAAACGTGCATTAAGAAAGAACTCCGTGATTGGCCTCATCCTTGCATTCTCCAGATGACAGAAAAACCTACTCTTACATCACATGCCTGATTTTGAAGTTATTTTAAATCTCATTAGCTTTTTAAATTATTGAATGAATGACTGGGTTTGTTCACCTGAGAGTGCAGAAGTCCAACACGCTCACTGGCATCCACCAGCTCCTGTTCAGCAACTTTGCGACTTCTCTCTGTCTGTTCCAGAGCAGCTCTGAGTTCCTCAGTTTCAGCTATCATGATACCGTTCCTACGATCCACCATAGCAGCTTGTTCCTTGAAGTCCTCCTGGGCTCTGACAGCATCATCAAGGTGCAGTTGCACATCCTAGTGGAAAAATATCAGGAAAATGTTCACATACATGTTTCCGTCACTGACCACAGTCTGTGCAACAGCTCTGTGTCTTACAGTACCTTCAGCTGCGCCTGAACATTTCTCAGTTGCTTCTGGGGCTCAGCAGCCTGGTGATTGGCGTGGCTGAGCTGAATCTCCATCTCATTCAGGTCTCCTTCCATCTTCTTCTTGACTCTCAGGGCATCTTTCCTGCTTCTGACCTCAGAATCCAGAGTGCTCTGCATGGAGTCAATCACCCTCTGGCTGTTCCTCTTGATCTGCTCCATCTCCTCATCTTTCTCTGCCAGCTTCCTGTCCACCTCACCCTTAATCTGGTTGAGCTCCAGCTGGACACGCAGGATCTTAGACTCCTCGTGTTCCAGAGTTCCCTGATGATATCAAAGAACGAAA